CGCCATCATTTCTGGTGTCACTACTTAATACATCATCAAATTCACCTGCAAATTTGAAAGGTGTCAAAATTTACGCTTGCCCACGGTTGCAGTTAAAAACTAGTAGGTGTCCCTATAAGAAAATCACAACATCAAACATTGCATGATCAAAACAAGTTTATTGAAGAAAGAACTTCTATTGCAACCAAAATAATCCGTGGAAAGTAAAATTCAAGTTAATTATCATTTACCAGTTATGACTAAATATGGCTTTCAAACCATATTTTGTATACCACATTTTGAAATGCGTTAGCAAACTAATAAAAAAATATACTTGGCAGAGTATAACCTGGCATGAAATTTGAAAAGCAAGCACAATCATTCATACCAATGGGAAACAGGACAAACCACTGAGATGGCAACATGTACAACAAGCATGATCAATTTTAGGTATTTTCCATAATCTTTAGTAAATTCTTGTTAGAAACTGATTAGGAATACTGAAATTTTTATCAACTCAGTGTTTGCCAGAAAGAATAAGGTGGCAGTCAACCGTATCAAATCATCACCTGGTTTGAGCGGTTATTAGAAAAAGGCAACAACTAGTTCTAAAAAGATGTCGTGTGATTAACTCCCATATTTTTTAAATAGATAAATCACATAGAACGCAATGATAGAAATAAATTCAATAATCGATAAGGTTCAACCCCCTTTTGTATTCACACTCACTTTAACCAGTTACAGATAGTTCTTACAACTCACAATATCCAACAAAATTGACTAGGTCAATAAATCCATATTAACGTCCTTCAACATCAATGTTAAATCAAATAATGTCCATTTGGATAATCTAGTTAAATTGTTGACCTTGAGATGGACCAAGTGCTTTCCCTCTAAATGTTTCACGGTTTATTGGTCATTCCTGCCCAGTAGCTGCTAATGACAGCACTGGTGATAAAAATGCAACCGAAGCCAGCAGTCATTTTTAGAGATACGCAACCAGGATAATGCTCTTCCTCTTAAAGCCACTTTGATATCAAGTTTGAGAAGAGACTGATCTCTCAAGTCTTAGATAAAATCTTCAAGAGATCTCCAGAATGGAAAAATGATGTACTCAAGAGTAGTTCTAAGTTGCATAGGCTACTCATTTTGTAAAAGAATTCTTGTAAAGACCAAGTTAGATTGGAAGTCCTTAAGACATACTCCTCCACAAAATGCCAATATGACAGAGTTGGATGCTATGTCAGTCGATCAAACTTCTACTCAATTGGATTAGTCACGAATACATCTCGCACCCTTCCATGTTTCTTTTTTCAACTGTCCACATTTGAAACATCTCACTCGTAGAGTGGATGTAATTAGAGATAACAGTCATGATTCACAACATTTCGTTAAGGACTCGTGAAGTAAATCATAAGTCATTTGGGGTACCCAACACATATCAATCATTCTGGACCTTTACCAAGGTGGAAACTAACATATAGACGGTTATAGTGATTTGCAAAGATAAGGGTGTTGATCTGATGTATCAGGACATGAGGTGAAAGTGGAATTCTCAAGTTGTTAGCTGCTGGGGGTGGGGAGGGAATGGAGAAAAATCTTGGTGCATTATCTATCCTGATTACTTATAAAGAACCCAAAAACATGTAACATTCATGATTGTTGAACCATAGTAGCAAATAAGAGAATGAAGTCACAATCCGCAACACACAAAGGATTCTCAAGAAATGATTGTGCCATGATGTTTCTGAGTGAGAATTATATGATTTGCAATTTATCCTAACAACTTATTTTACTTCAACGTATTCAAGACAAACTGAGCATGTTTCCCACAGAGCAGACAGTATACCTAGTCGGTCAATGACAGCAGAAAAGGCACTGATAGCCTGAAATTGGTACACAATGAGAGAAAAATCTCCGAGAATGTGATTAAAAGCAGAAACAGACTGATTGATTACTCCAAATTCAATTTTTCCGGAGAAATACATGGGTGCAACAACTGCAGCGGGAAGAATCTGGATCAAGTATCGGTAGCCACTGGTGAAGAACTCCAGATTTCTGGAAGATATCAACAATTTCTGTAAAGTTAAAGATGGAGAAAAAATGAAGCATAATAAGAAAGAAACGAAATATCTCATTTATTCAAGTATTAGGCAAAGAGGTGTTGGTTACAGAGAAAAATGAAATTTCAAAGCTAAATGAAGTAGTCGAAAAGTTTCCATACAGAGAGATTTTCAAATGCGCTTCTGAACCGCTGCAGCAGGAGTTGCATCTCATTTTCCTCACCACCATAAAATGCAATGGATTCAGCATTTTCCCTAACACGCACTAGTCCATAACGGAAATCGGCTTCTTTTTTCTCTTGCAAGAAGTTCAGAGTAACCAATCCCTGATGATAAACAGCTTACATTATCAAGAGGAAGCATCTCCCCTTCCATAGAAAATCAATTGCTAGCACATACAGGAAGTACTTATAATTAACACATTACTTTTCAAAGATAAAAAATTACCCTCCCAAGGAAGACACTGATCGCTGTTCCACCAAGCGAGTATGCCAGAAGGACAATAAAAAGAGGTGGATATATACCATATAAGATATTACTAAAAGATATCAAGTCCACGGTAGCATTGAAGAGTGTCAATGAAAATGCAAGAGCCGTTCCCGTGAAGGAACTTAAATCATCAACAATCCGTTGATCAGGGTTATCAATAATTGATTGAGATTGTATTTTGTAAAATGTCCGATTCTTTAGATAGCGATCCATGTAATAGCTTGTCATCCAAGATCTCCATCGCAAAGAAAGAGTATCTTTTGCATAATCTCTCAGAACAAATACCTAAAAGACAATAGCAAGAATGAGATTTGTTCATAAAATCAACAGAAATGAACACCATAATCATATTAAAAACAGGTGTAGAAGCTGAAATGATCATGTAGAGTCCTTTTGCATAAGTATTCAGTGAAGAAAATGAACCGATGTATCATTTAAACCTTCTCCTTTGTCCAGTTACAATTAAAAATAAAAAAATATGAAGACAAGAATACCTAAGGAAGGGTTGTTTTCCTTCCAATTCAAACAGTTACATTTATAATCCTAGTATTTTATTTCGATAAGAGAGGAAAGGGAAGGGATTTTTTTTCTGTCCAAGTTACTTTTCTATTTGCCTTTCCATACTACAGTCTAATACCCATGGTACCACAGGGAAAATACTAGGACAACAAACAGAGTCTCAGACTATGAATCAGGAATTTAGAAAAGGCAATGATCAAAAGAACCAGTATATTGTTCGGTGTTCACAGACGGACGAATTGAATATTCCATGGGATTTAAAACTGATTTCTCATGCTACTGGACTACTGTGTATAACCTTCCAGCAAACAGAAACTCCAAAGACTGGATTTTGATATGAGGATTTTAACTGAATTCTCCCTGGGGCATTTGCCACATCCACTCAAAAATGCTGAAAAGACTATAGGAAGGAATACCTAAGAAAGCGGAGCAATGTGCTCACCGGAATTCCACCAGCAAAACCAACAAGATAGTACAACAGTTGCGTGGTAAACCGTGCTTGATCCTTGTCTTCCACAAATCAACAAAAACAAAAAAAGTTCACCATCGTTCTGCTGGTAACACGTTCTCAACCCCAATATAAAAATAACATAAAAGGAAGATTAAGATGCATACCTGCAAGGGCATTATAAAAGTCACGGCCGAGAAAATTGAAGGTAACACTGATTCCAGTGGTTCCTAAAGTAAGGGCAAAAACAGTAGCTAGCCGCCATCTCGCCTGGGTTTTATCATCTGAAAACCAATATGGAGCAGCCACTTTCCAGAACCTCTTCACCAGCGTTTGAACATCTGGTACCTTTCTAGGTGCATCGTCCCCCTAAGACCATAAAAACACACATTTTCAAGAATTACCTAAAACATATCAGCAAAAATTCAATTAGGAGAAGTCGAATCGAAATTAAAGAACGAACCTGATTTGGTTTAGAGTCTGGAGGTGGTGGTTGAGCGGCGTCGAAAGAAGAATTACTAACAAAAGCTGTAAATGAAGTGGGATTAGGATTTTTCCTCGTTAAAAATGAAGCATAATGAGGCCTTAACGTGAAACGGCAAAAATTATGATTCTGATTCTTGTTCCGATTGGAGCAACTAATTTTTCTACTGATAATGATGCTACTTGCAGATGAGAAAACTTGAGCTTGATTGAAGGTTGCTGGGATCTGTACTGGGGATTCTACACCACCTATCATTTTGCTCGACATAGCAGAAAATCAAACGCCTATTTCCTCCTCTTCGTGGCGTTTCAGTTTCAGGAAATTCACAAGAAGAAATGAATTATCCACATAAATACAACCATTGAAATTCGTAGTTCTCGTGATGCCACGTCACACGGATCTATAGCCTAAATATCTATAGCGGGCTTCGTTCCAAAATAAAATCCATGTAAATTAAAACATGTTTTAATTCCATCTCCCTTGTTGATTTAAAAATTTTTAAAACAAAAAAATGTTTGGGACTAAAATTTCAGTGCGAGCATATGCCCGCATAAGACGTGGCTCAGCCACTGGGTCTATTGAAACATCGCTAATTGGGTCACTAGTGGAGCAGGTTGAGTAGGCAAGCGGTGCATCCAACTTAATATCCCTAGGCTATTCTACTTGACACGAGAGAAGCTGGAATTTGTCGTATTTGTAGTGACATTTTCTTTTTCTTTTTTTTTATTACGGGGGCTGCGGGTTCCCCATCATCTGTTGGTGGAGAGAATGTGAAGTGGCCGAATGACTTAAAAAATTTTGTCACTTTTTTTCTTCTCGGTAAATATAAATCACTAATGCAGAGAATCACTCTACACGAGTTGGGCTTGTTTTATAACAGAATTTGTCCAAATACATTAGTGCTAGGGACAAATTCTTGAGTATGATTTTAGCTGATAAAAGATTTGATTATGCCTTTCTCAGGTAACTTGTAGCTTTAGAATGTAGGTCTTTTTATATATATACACACAATTTTTGAGGAAGCGTGTACTCGATCTTTGCTTGAAAACGTTTATTAAGCCCTTATTTGTCATCCATTAAAATTCAGCTCTTTTTTTTTTCCAACTGTATATTTACATAATTAAATATTTTGCACATAAATTTAAAATTTTTTTCATAAATGAAATTATTAAATATTTAAAAATAATATAATAATAATTAATCTATCTACTCCACTACCACCGCCCCCACCAAATTTTAAAATGTAAATTCAAACCATTCTCTTTATCTCTCCTCCCCACCCCATTTCTTCGGTGATCCCACCCCATCTCCGACGACAACTCCGGCAACTGCTCCGACAACCCCAACCTACCTCCGGCGACAATTCCAATGGTCTCCGACAACCTCCTGACAACCATTTCGACAACTGACGTTGTACCCTTTTTTTTTTTTTAGGTAATGACCTGTGACCAATTTCATTAAATCTGTGACATATGACCAGTTCTATTAGATCTGTGACCTAACCGGGTGAGATGAATTATATGTAACTATTTGTGATCGAATTTATTTTCAGTGTGACTCTATGTGACCGCCTAATTTGGGATTTTATGTAACCAATTCACTGACCCACATTATCTGTGATTAACCGTGACCAACTCTGTCTTCGATGTGATTAACTGTGACCAAAAGTACATTCAGTGTGACTGTCCGTGACAAGGTCAATCTCATGTCACAACCGGTCACAATCAACACAAAATTGGTCACAAATAATCACAACAAACACAAATTTGGTCCCATGGGGTCACCACAAACAAATATACACTCATCACGACCCGTATCATAATTTGCTCCTGTTTTAAAGTAATAATCGAAATTGTGATTGTATGTAACCAATTCACTGACCCATGTTATCTGTGATTAACAATGACCAACTCTAATTTCGGTGTGACTAAACCAAAATTACATTCAGTGTGACTATCTATGATAAGGTCAATATCATGTTACAACCGGTCAAAATTGGTCACAAATAGTCACAACAAACTCAAATTTGGTCACATGGGGTCACCACAAACAAATATGCACTCATCGCGACCAGTATAATAATTTGCTCTCCCTACAGCAAAACCTGTCCGCCAAGCCCAATTTCCCAGTAAAAAATCCAGCCCCTTGACAGCAAACACTTGATGCAATGTGAGGCGAACTATCTCGGACACCAACAGTTTGTTTGATTTGGCAGGAAGATTTTTTTGAAGATAAAATATCCATCACATGCTTGTAAAGACCAGTCTTTTGTACTTGTTTCAACACCTCCACCTAAAATAATGAACAGCCACAGTGAATTCAGTAGAGAACTTTTACCATCCAGCGTATTTTATATGGATAAAAGTTAAGAATACAGGTGTATATAATTCTGAACCAGAAGCCATTTGTTTTCTGTAATCTTTATATTTCCTTGTTTTTACCTTGATAGCCGCCCGTTGCCACCACCACAACATACCACCACCGCACCACCCACAAAACACCACCACCACCATCATCTCCTCTCTCCATTTAAACCGCACCCAACCACCATCCCCACCAAAACCCACAAACAAGCCATCACCATCACCACAGCACACTATCACAGCCTATACAATAACCATCTCAAAAATCGCAACAAAACATGTTGAAAAATTTACCAAAAAATCATACGATCTATAAAACCACACAAAAGTCCGTAACACCACAAAAAGTCCAAATCGCCGCTGTGATCCGAAACGCCGGAGAAGAGTTTAGTTCGTATCGCTACACCTCAACCCCACCGACGATGTGACCATCCTAGCGCATCCACTTAGGCGAAGAGACAGATCTGTGCATCCACTCTGATGCCGCGCTAACGCTGTAGTTGTCTATCAAGGAAGGGTTGCTGTAGAGAGAGAGAATGGGGGAAGCAGTGATTTTAGAAAGAGAATAAGAAATGTAGAGAGAGAGAGAGATGAGAGTTGATAGAGAGAGAAGACAGAAATGTTGGGAGAGAAATGAGAGTGGGTAGAGAGAGAAGACATAAATTTCTTGGTGTGGGTGGGTAAGTGGCTGGGGGTAATGGGATTAGATGAGTTAAATACGTGTATTTGATTTTGTAAATATATTTTTATTAGTTTTAATTATTAAAATTTATTTAAGACCTGATTTGTGAAAATGAAAATTAATCTTTAAATTCAGGTTTCTAGGTAATTTTCCCTTTAACTTATAAACGACCCGACTCACAAATAAATCAAATATTTGAGTTAATTGCTCTAATAGTCACTGAACTTAGGTCCATATCTTTGATTGACCACTGAACTTTAAAATGTCGAGTTTTGGCTGCTAAACTTTGAAAAATATTGAGTTTTTGTCACCGGACTTAGGTCCATATCTTTGATTGGACATTGAAACTTAAAATGTCAAGTTTTGTTCACTGAACTTAAATCAATGTCTTTGATTGCTCACTGAACTTAGATCTATATCTTAGATTGCCCACTGAAATTTAAATTGTCGAGTTTTGACCACTAAACTTTGGAATATGTCGTACGTTACTCACTAGCATAACTGTTGAATTTTGAAAAATATCGAGTTTACAGTGAATAATGTACAACATTTTTCAAATTTCAGTGAGTAATATTTTTCAAAATTCAGTGAGTAATGTATAATATTTTTCAAAGTTTAGTAAGTAATGTACAACATTTTTCAAATTTCAGTGAGTAATATTTTTCAAAATTCAGTGAGTAATGTATAATATTTTTCAAAGTTTAGTAAGTAATGTACAACATTTTTCAAATTTCAGTGGCCAAAACTCGATATTATAAATTACAGTGAGCAATCGAAGACATGGACTTAAGTTTGGTAACAAAACTCAACATTTTTCAAAGTTCAGTGACTAAAACTTGACATTTTAAACTTCAGTGGCCAAATAAAGACATGAACCTAAGTTCAATGACCAAAACTCGACATTCTAAAGTTCAGTGGGCAATCAAAGATATAGACCTAAGTTCAGTAACTATTGAAACAATTAACTCTGGTTTGGTTCATTGGCCAATTTACAATCAAATTTGATTAAAATTTCACTTGACTTTAGTTCATTAGCACATTTCGAATCAAATTTGACTAGGTTTTCAAGCGAATTTTTTCATTGTCGCGTTTCCATTCAAATTTCAGCGGAAATTTCACTGAATTTTGTTAATTGGCGTGTTTCTAATCAAATTTAACTAAAAGTTCACCAGGATTTTATTTGTTAATGTGTTTCCAATTGAACTTGACTAAAATTTCATCTGAATTTTTTTTATTGGCATATTTCGAATCAAATTTGACTAATATTTCAAGCGAATTTTTTCATTGAAGCATTTCCATTCAAATTTGACTAAAACTTCATATGGGTTTGGTTCATTGGCACGTTTCCAATCAAATTTGATTAAAATTTCACCGGAATTTAGTTCATTAGCTTGTTTCTAATCAAAGTTGACTAAAATTTCACAAGAAATTTGTTTGTTAGAGCATTTTCAATCAAATTTGACTAAAATTTCACAAGAATTTTATTCGTTAGAGCATTTTCAATCAAATTTGACTAAAATTTCATCTAAATTTTGTTCATTGACTAAAATTTCACCTGAATTTGGTTTATTGGCGCGTTTCCAATCAAATTTAAATAAAATTTTACCAGGATTTAGTTGATTGGCTTGTTTTTAGGAAACTAGATTATTGACATAAACATTTATAAAAATGAAAAAAAGAAAGAAACAATAGTAAAACAATAATCCATATTAGTTTATTTCGAATATAAACCCCTAAAAATTCAGGTATAGAATTGATATATTTTTTATTAATTGTCCATTGATTAAAAGCATAGCATATGCATTAACGAATAATCACAAACCAAAGTCATTGCCAAGTAATTATATGGATGAGTGCTCTACATTCACAAGTAGCTTTGACTGGCAATAAATCTTGTTTCAGACACGTTGTGAGAGAAAGTATTAAATACATGGTAACAAGATCAAAACATGTCATACCAGTTGGTTTATTACTATCTGACACAGAAGTCGGATCTTCACTCCAAGTAGGATAAAGCAATTGTTGACGAAGATTCCCTAAAACCATGTATGGTTTTTGAGGAAGGAAAAGTACACTTGAATTTCTCTCTCTGTGTCTATTGTGATCTGGATTGGTCTCACTCACAGAAGTTACTTCACCAGAATCCATGCCTGTGGAAACACATGGCTTGGGACTCCTTGCATTTTTGTTATAGAATGTGATTGTTCCCCGTCCAAAATTCCAGAGCCCAGCTATGGCTCTCAATAATGAAGTTTTACCACTTCCACTTGGCCCTGTAACCTGTTAATGCAGCTATATACCAGCAGTCAATCAATTCTTTCATTTGTTTAACATCACAAGATGATATATACAAGATAAAAATATAAATAGAATCTAACCAGCAGGTTCTCCTTCTCACAAATCTCCAATGACAAGTCCTTGATAAGAGTTGCTTTGCTTGGAGTTAATAAAGTCAAATGCTCAATGCTTAGTAATTTCACACTTACAGCAAGTGGCATCGATCCATTAGAATTCAATGCACTAAAACTGTTTGTACTGCAGTACTCACGCTCAATTTCTTCCATGGATTCGCCATCATTTCTGGTGTCACTACTTAATACATCATCAAATTCACCTGCAAATTTGAAAGGTGTCAAAATTTACGCTTGCCCACGGTTGCAGTTAAAAACTAGTAGGTGTCCCTATAAGAAAATCACAACATCAAACATTGCATGATCAAAACAAGTTTATTGAAGAAAGAACTTCTATTGCAACCAAAATAATCCGTGGAAAGTAAAATTCAAGTTAATTATCATTTACCAGTTATGACTAAATATGGCTTTCAAACCATATTTTGTATACCACATTTTGAAATGCGTTAGCAAACTAATAAAAAAATATACTTGGCAGAGTATAACCTGGCATGAAATTTGAAAAGCAAGCACAATCATTCATACCAATGGGAAACAGGACAAACCACTGAGATGGCAACATGTACAACAAGCATGATCAATTTTAGGTATTTTCCATAATCTTTAGTAAATTCTTGTTAGAAACTGATTAGGAATACTGAAATTTTTATCAACTCAGTGTTTGCCAGAAAGAATAAGGTGGCAGTCAACCGTATCAAATCATCACCTGGTTTGAGCGGTTATTAGAAAAAGGCAACAACTAGTTCTAAAAAGATGTCGTGTGATTAACTCCCATATTTTTTAAATAGATAAATCACATAGAACGCAATGATAGAAATAAATTCAATAATCGATAAGGTTCAACCCTCTTTTGTATTCACACTCACTTTAACCAGTTACAGATAGTTCTTACAACTCACAATATCCAACAAAATTGACTAGGTCAATAAATCCATATTAACGTCCTTCAACATCAATGTTAAATCAAATAATGTCCATTTGGATAATCTAGTTAAATTGTTGACCTTGAGATGGACCAAGTGCTTTCCCTCTAAATGTTTCACGGTTTATTGGTCATTCCTGCCCAGTAGCTGCTAATGACAGCACTGGTGATAAAAATGCAACCGAAGCCAGCAGTCATTTTTAGAGATACGCAACCAGGATAATGCTCTTCCTCTTAAAGCCACTTTGATATCAAGTTTGAGAAGAGACTGATCTCTCAAGTCTTAGATAAAATCTTCAAGAGATCTCCAGAATGGAAAAATGATGTACTCAAGAGTAGTTCTAAGTTGCATAGGCTACTCATTTTGTAAAAGAATTCTTGTAAAGACCAAGTTAGATTGGAAGTCCTTAAGACATACTCCTCCACAAAATGCCAATATGACAGAGTTGGATGCTATGTCAGTCGATCAAACTTCTACTCAATTGGATTAGTCACGAATACATCTCGCACCCTTCCATGTTTCTTTTTTCAACTGTCCACATTTGAAACATCTCACTCGTAGAGTGGATGTAATTAGAGATAACAGTCATGATTCACAACATTTCGTTAAGGACTCGTGAAGTAAATCATAAGTCATTTGGGGTACCCAACATATATCAATCATTCTGGACCTTTACCAAGGTGGAAACTAACATATAGACGGTTATAGTGATTTGCAAAGATAAGGGTGTTGATCTGATGTATCAGGACATGAGGTGAAAGTGGAATTCTCAAGTTGTTAGCTGCTGGGGGTGGGGAGGGAATGGAGAAAAATCTTGGTGCATTATCTATCCTGATTACTTATAAAGAACCCAAAAACATGTAGCATTCATGATTGTTGAACCATAGTAGCAAATAAGAGAATGAAGTCACAATCCGCAACACACAAAGGATTCTCAAGAAATGATTGTGCCATGATGTTTCTGAGTGAGAATTATATGATTTGCAATTTATCCTAACAACTTATTTTACTTCAACGTATTCAAGACAAACTGAGCATGTTTCCCACAGAGCAGACAGTATACCTAGTCGGTCAATGACAGCAGAAAAGGCACTGATAGCCTGAAATTGGTACACAATGAGAGAAAAATCTCCGAGAATGTGATTAAAAGCAGAAACAGACTGATTGATTACTCCAAATTCAATTTTTCCGGAGAAATACATGGGTGCAACAACTGCAGCGGGAAGAATCTGGATCAAGTATCGGTAGCCACTGGTGAAGAACTCCAGATTTCTGGAAGATATCAACAATTTCTGTAAAGTTAAAGATGGAGAAAAAATGAAGCATAATAAGAAAGAAACGAAATATCTCATTTATTCAAGTATTAGGCAAAGAGGTGTTGGTTACAGAGAAAAATGAAATTTCAAAGCTAAATGAAGTAGTCGAAAAGTTTCCATACAGAGAGATTTTCAAATGCGCTTCTGAACCGCTGCAGCAGGAGTTGCATCTCATTTTCCTCACCACCATAAAATGCAATGGATTCAGCATTTTCCCTAACACGCACTAGTCCATAACGGAAATCGGCTTCTTTTTTCTCTTGCAAGAAGTTCAGAGTAACCAATCCCTGATGATAAACAGCTTACATTATCAAGAGGAAGCATCTCCCCTTCCATAGAAAATCAATTGCTAGCACATACAGGAAGTACTTATAATTAACACATTACTTTTCAAAGATAAAAAATTACCCTCCCAAGGAAGACACTGATCGCTGTTCCACCAAGCGAGTATGCCAGAAGGACAATAAAAAGAGGTGGATATATACCATATAAGATATTACTAAAAGATATCAAGTCCACGGTAGCATTGAAGAGTGTCAATGAAAATGCAAGAGCCGTTCCCGTGAAGGAACTTAAATCATCAACAATCCGTTGATCAGGGTTATCAATAATTGATTGAGATTGTATTTTGTAAAATGTCCGATTCTTTAGATAGCGATCCATGTAATAGCTTGTCATCCAAGATCTCCATCGCAAAGAAAGAGTATCTTTTGCATAATCTCTCAGAACAAATACCTAAAAGACAATAGCAAGAATGAGATTTGTTCATAAAATCAACAGAAATGAACACCATAATCATATTAAAAACAGGTGTAGAAGCTGAAATGATCATGTAGAGTCCTTTTGCATAAGTATTCAGTGAAGAAAATGAACCGATGTATCATTTAAACCTTCTCCTTTGTCCAGTTACAATTAAAAATAAAAAAATATGAAGACAAGAATACCTAAGGAAGGGTTGTTTTCCTTCCAATTCAAACAGTTACATTTATAATCCTAGTATTTTATTTCGATAAGAGAGGAAAGGGAAGGGATTTTTTTTCTGTCCAAGTTACTTTTCTATTTGCCTTTCCATACTACAGTCTAATACCCATGGTACCACAGGGAAAATACTAGGACAACAAACAGAGTCTCAGACTATGAATCAGGAATTTAGAAAAGGCAATGATCAAAAGAACCAGTATATTGTTCGGTGTTCACAGACGGACGAATTGAATATTCCATGGGATTTAAAACTGATTTCTCATGCTACTGGACTACTGTGTATAACCTTCCAGCAAACAGAAACTCCAAAGACTGGATTTTGATATGAGGATTTTAACTGAATTCTCCCTGGGGCATTTGCCACATCCACTCAAAAATGCTGAAAAGACTATAGGAAGGAATACCTAAGAAAGCGGAGCAATGTGCTCACCGGAATTCCACCAGCAAAACCAACAAGATAGTACAACAGTTGCGTGGTAAACCGTGCTTGATCCTTGTCTTCCACAAATCAACAAAAACAAAAAAAGTTCACCATCGTTCTGCTGGTAACACGTTCTCAACCCCAATATAAAAATAACATAAAAGGAAGATTAAGATGCATACCTGCAAGGGCATTATAAAAGTCACGGCCGAGAAAATTGAAGGTAACACTGATTCCAGTGGTTCCTAAAGTAAGGGCAAAAACAGTAGCTAGCCGCCATCTCGCCTGGGTTTTATCATCTGAAAACCAATATGGAGCAGCCACTTTCCAGAACCTCTTCACCAGCGTTTGAACATCTGGTACCTTTCTAGGTGCATCGTCCCCCTAAGACCATAAAAACACACATTTTCAAGAATTACCTAAAACATATCAGCAAAAATTCAATTAGGAGAAGTCGAATCGAAATTAAAGAACGAACCTGATTTGGTTTAGAGTCTGGAGGTGGTGGTTGAGCGGCGTCGAAAGAAGAATTACTAACAAAAGCTGTAAATGAAGTGGGATTAGGATTTTTCCTCGTTAAAAATGAAGCATAATGAGGCCTTAACGTGAAACGGCAAAAATTATGATTCTGATTCTTGTTCCGATTGGAGCAACTAATTTTTCTACTGATAATGATGCTACTTGCAGATGAGAAAACTTGAGCTTGATTGAAGGTTGCTGGGATCTGTACTGGGGATTCTACACCACCTATCATTTTGCTCGACATAGCAGAAAATCAAACGCCTATTTCCTCCTCTTCGTGGCGTTTCAGTTTCAGGAAATTCACAAGAAGAAATGAATTATCCACATAAATACAACCATTGAAATTCGTAGTTCTCGTGATGCCACGTCACACGGATCTATAGCCTAAATATCTATAGCGGGCTTCGTTCCAAAATAAAATCCATTAAATTAAAACATGTTTTAATTCCATTTCCCTTGTTGATTTAAATTTTTAAAACAAAAAAATGTTTGGGACTAAAATTTCAGTGCGAGCATATGCCCGCATAAGACGTGGCTCAGCCACTGGGTCTATTGAAACATCGCTAATTGGGTCACTAGTGGAGCGGGTTGAGTAGGCAAGCGGTGCATCCAACTTAATATCCCTAGGCTATTCTACTTGACGCGAGAGAAGGTGGAATTTGTCGTATTTGTAGTGACATTTTCTTTTTCTTTTTTTTTATTACGGGGGCTGCGGGTTCCCCCGTCATCTGTTGGTGGAGAGAATGTGAAGTGGCCGAATGACTTAAAAAAATTTATCACTTTTTTTCTTATCGGTAAATATAAATCACTAATGCAGAGAATTACTCTACACGAGTTGGGCTTGTTTTATAACAGAATTTGTCCAAATACATTAGTGCTAGGGACAAATTCTTGAGTATGATTTTAGGTGATAGAAGATTTGATTATGCCTTTCTCAGGTAACTTGTAGCTTTAGAATGTAGGTCTTCTTATATATATACACACAATTTTTGAGGAAGCGTGTACTCGATCTTTGCTTGAAAACGTTTATTAAGCCCCTATTTGTCATCCATTAAAATTCAGCTCTTTTTTTTTTTTTTCAACTGTATATTTACATAATTAAATATTTTGCACATAAATTTAAAATTTTTTCCTACCCTTTAATCGCACATTCTTCCAAAAAGTATTATTATAAAATTTATTTTTTCCAAATAACTCTTCTTAATGGCTACCAAAGAGAGGTTAATTTGGTTTTGACCAGAGGTGATGGTCTCCAAGTATAAGGGTCTGTTTGGGAGCGATTTTTCTTATCCAAAAAATTGATTTTTTGATAATTATTTCACTATTTCAGTCGTCATATTTGACTTCTTCTCTCATAAGTGAACCTCATTTTTTAATAACGGTCAAAAAATTAATTCTCAAAATCACTCTCAAACAGAGTCTAAAAGTGGAATGGTTTCAAATTGTAATTGGGAAAACCACATAAATCCTACATATAAAAATCATATTTCTAAACTAACAAAATTCTTGATTTTTTACAAAAATCAGGTGATAAATGAAATTATTAAATATTTAAAAATAATATAATAATAATTAATCTATCTACGCCACTACCACCACCCCCCACCAAATTTTAAAATGTAAATTCAAACCATTCTCTTTATCTCTCCTCCCCACCCCATTTCTTCGGCGATCCCACCCCATCTCCGGCGACTTCTCCGACGACAACTCCGGCAACTGCTCCGACAACCCCAACCTACCTCCGGCGACAATTCCAATGGTCTCCGGCAACCTCCTGAACACCATTCCGACAACTGACGTTGTACCCTTTTTTTTAGGTAATGACCTGTGACCAGTTTCATTAAATCTGTGACATATGACCAGTTCTATTAGATCTGTGACCTAACCGGGTGGGATGAATTATATGTAACTATTTGTGATTGAATTTATTTTCAGTGTGACTCTATGTGACCGCCTAATTTGGGATTTTATGTAACCAATTCACTGACCCACATTATCTGTGATTAACCGTGACCAGCTCTGTCTTCGATGTGATTAACTGTGACCAAAAGTACATTCAGTGTGACTGTCCGTGACAAGGTCAATATCATGTCACAACCGGTCACAATCAACACAAAATTGGTCACAAATAATCACAACAAACACAAATTTGGTCACATGGGGTCACCACAAACAAATATACACTCATCACGACCCGTATCATAATTTGCTCCTGTTTTAAAGTAATAATCGAAATTGTGATTGTATGTAACCAATTCACTAACCCATGTTATCTGTGATTAACAATGACCAACTCTAATTTCGGTGTGACTAAACCAAAATTACATTCAGTGTGACTATCTATGATAAGGTCAATATCATGTTACAACCGGTCAAAATTGGTCACAAATAGTCACAACAAACTCAAATTTGGTCACATGGGGTCACCACAAACAAATATGCACTCATCGCGACCAGTATAATAATTTGCTCTCCCTACAGCAAAACCTGTCCGCCAAGCCCAATTTCCCAGTAAAAAATCCAGCCCCTTGACAGCAAACACTTGATGCAATGTGAGGCGAACTATCTCGGACACCAACAGTTTGTTTGATTTGGCAGGAAGATTTTTTTGAAGATAAAATATCCATCACATGCTTGTAAAGACCAGTCTTTTGTACTTGTTTCAACACCTCCACCTAAAATAATGAACAGCCATAGTGAATTTAGTAAAGAACTTTTACCATCCAGCGTATTTTATATGGATAAAAGTTAAGAATACAGGTGTATATAATTCTAAACCAGAAGTCATTTGTTTTCTGTAACCTCTATATTTCCTTGTTTTTACCTTGATAGCCGCCCGTTGCCACCACCACAACACACCACCACCGCACCACCCACAAAACACCACCACCACCATCATCTCCTCTCTCCATTTAAACCGCACCCAACCACCATCCCCACCAAAACCCACAAACAAGCCATCACCATCACCACAGCACACTATCACAGCCTATACAATAACCATCTCAAAAATCGCAACAAAACATGTTGAAAAATTTACCAAAAAATCATACGATCTATAAAACCACACAAAAAGTCCAAATCACTGCCGTGATCCGAAACGCTGGAGAAGAGTTTAGTCCGTATCGCTGCGCCTCAACTCCACCGACGATGTGACCATCCTAGCGCATCCACTTAGGCTAAGAGACAGATCTGTGCATCCACTCCGATGCCGCGCTCAACGCTAGAGTTGTTTGTCAAAGAAGGGTTGGTGTAGAGAGAGAGAGAGAGAATGGGGGAAGCTGTGATTTTAGAAAGAGAATAAAAAAGTAAGGAGAGAGAGAGGAGATGGGAGTCAATAGAGAGAGACGACGGAAATGTTGGGAGAGAGATGAGAGTTGATAGAGAGAGAAGACATAAATTTCTTGGTGTGGGTGGGTAAGTGGCTGGGGGTAATGGGATTAGATGAGTTAAATACGTGTATTTGATTTTGTAAATATATTTTTATTAGTTTTAATTATTAAAATTTATTTAAGACCTGATTTGTGAAAATGAAAATTAATCTCTTGTTCTTTGAAAATTAATCTTTAAATTCAGGTTTCTAGGTAATTTTCTCTTTTTTTTTTTAGACTCAAACCCATGATTTTGCTTTATAGTTTTATCATCACATCATGACCAAAACACAATGTTCGACATGGATTAAATCAGGGGCGAACCCAGATCTTTAGTATTGTGGGATCAAAATTTTAAAAATAATTTTTTTTTAATAAACAACATAATATCAATAAAAATAAGTATATACGTATTAAATAAATTTTGCTACTTATAAAGTTTTGTTTATCATTTCATTAGCAAATGCTGAACTAACATTGAGTAAATTAAATTGAATATAGAAATTAAATGAATTGAAATAAAATTCAAGTTTAGTTCAGGAAGTAAATGAAATTGAAATTTAAAACAAATATATTTTAAAAGTAATTCAAATTGCATTTAATTCGTAATGACCCTAAAAAATTTACGTCATATTTCATATAAGATTTCCGAATGAAACGATATAAAGTATATTGAAAAATTTATCATACAAAAATAATAATAATTGAATTTTATAAAAGAAAAAACGAGTTAAACGTATTTTTTGAGGCATACATTTGATATATATTTAACTATTTTCAATATCCGTTTGGACTATTCGATATGAAAACGATGTAGTTTTCCAAACAAACTTTTACGTGGCATCGATGATTTGTGAATTCAGATTGCGCATGATCGCAAACGGATTTTTAAAGTTACGATATTATCGAAATTCTCAAAATACTAGTTTCACACGCCCTACTTTAACATTTCATAACTTTTGTTATAATTGACCACTTCGCATGCTATTAATAAGTGAAAAACTAGACCATGAACACTTCAAAATGGTATTAAGAATGCAATATTTTAATTTCATTTGGCATCTCGACGAGTACATCAAAGTAGATTGTTATAAAAAAAATAAAAAAAAAGGGGGGCAAAATTGTGGGGTCATTTGACCCCACATAACCCCATGCGGATCCGCCCCTAGGTTAAATTATGCCCGCATTGAACAAATTTCTTGACTCCTCCCCTGAATAGACCCACATGAGTGTATGAGCCGAGTGAGTTAGCTTGCTTGCGAGCTTGTGTGCAAGCAAACTCGCCATAATGAGTAAAATCTTGCAGCTCATAAGCCTAGCTAGACCTTGGTAGGACGAGCCTAGCCAGCTCAACCAGTGTCTGTTAAAAGGATTGCCTTTAGTGGTGCGAGCTGCCAGGCCAAACTTTGGTTGAGCCAGCCGGTCGTCCCATTTAACCCCTAGAATAGCCTAAAACACATAAAGGAGCTAATATCATTAAAATATTTGCAAATGCAGAACCTCCAAGCACAGTTCAAACCAATGTCGATAAAACAAGTAAACCTTTCTCACAACTTAATTGTCATTAATCAAAAACCATGCCGAACAGCATACTGGATTTTCAACAAATAGTTCATGAAACACAATGTTCAGGATACAGCCTTCTGGCAGGAAAAAGTGCCAGGAGAAAATATCTTTGGCCAATTTGAGCAAAACTCTATTGCTGCAGTTCAATAGCTTAAGCCTCCTCTCCATTCTCTTTCACTTCCTCTCCGGCAGAAGCTGATGCCCCTTGTGATGTTGCCATTGCCATGACCTCTCCAGGAGGTGGGTGGTCAAACCTGCATGTTGCTCCATACTTGCATGTCCCGGTCTTCATATAATATGGGCAGTGTATGGCACCCTACAAAACACAATGCAACATAGCAGTTCTGCAATTATATAGATAGCCAAAACAAATACCCCAGCTACAGGAGAATCGAGATGTGAATATTAGCAGGAAAAAAGAAAAGGAAATTAGAAATGTAAGACCGTCAACACTGATGTGGCAGCAGAAGTAAGATGTGCCAATATATAATTTTTCATTCTCTTACTCTTCAGAATTATGTTTTCTCAAAATATGTAACAAAGTAAATGTTTGAGGTAACGTCACAAGAAGCAAATATCTACTTATAACTATTTACCAAACTGTATATAATAATGATAATTGCTTCAAAATGAGTAACGAGGAGGAGAAACTAAATTTCACTTATTATCCAGTTTCATCCGCCTCAAGCAAAAACTAGCAGCTCTAGGACAATCCAGATCGACATTGAGTGCCCACCAAAAAATAGAAGCACAAATACAAACTGAATCAATTGATGCGTACCGCCACTTCAAGCAATCAATCAAGTCAACACTGATCTATTTTCAGAGCAGACAACATTTACTACGTTCCAAGATACAACATCATTCACTGGGGCAAAATGTGTTCACGAACTGAATCATTAAAAGTGGGCAATGTAGGATCTAAATAACTGCATTCACATTTAAGAGAAGATAAACATTTATGTACTACTGTTTTCTTCGAACATCAACTGATTTTCTTAGTACCAACCAAAAAGTTCTGTAACAAGGTTACCATAAAAGGCTGAGGATACCTCTCTCCTTGGTAGGCCAGCAAGAGTGAGTTTGACATTTTGCTGCACAGATTCTTTTACTGATGCTGTAGGTGCTGAACGATCAATAGGATGGTGAAACCTGCAGTTTTCGCCAAACTTGCAGACCCCAGTTTTCATGTAGTACTGAACAGGAAAAGAGCGGATCATGATAAGAAAAATGAAACTGTAAATACATAGGAGTGAACATGCAGCTTCAAACGGATAGGTATTTAAGTTAATGCTCGTTCAAAGTGCTCCACTAGCAAGGAGGCTTATAGAACATACACAAAGGCTCTTGACAGCATTTATTGGTCCTAAACTTTGAAAGACAATACGTTGCTAGAACTGACATAGTAGAGACAGATATCTAAGGAAAATTCATTGCAAAATTGCTCATTCAATTGCGTTATCACATCAAAACGAACATATATTTCTCTTTAGCTTAAATAATAGATGCCGACGCTTCCATTGTAAGACCAAAACATGGACAATAAGATCGACTCCCAAAAATCCAAAGGGAAATCATACGACTGCCTGATAAATTACAAAGTAGATGTTCTTGAACTAAATGAAAATCAAGTGGGCACGCACATCACATTCTGGCTGTCCAGGTCGCTGTGGGTAAATACTTGGGGTCAATCCAAGCTGCAGAAGGCAAAGAAAAAAAACATTCATGAGTAGAACTTCAAGATATTAAAAATTGCACTTTCTATCAAGCATAAAACCAAATAAACATTCAAAAGCTAGTAGAAGCAGTGTCAGACACACACTGACACAAGTAACATGACTTTGCAAATCAAATATAATATTTGCCTTTATCATAAGATGGTTCAGTTCATATCATAAACGTAGCTTAAGAGGGACAGCATAAGTTCCGAGATAGATCATTAAAAACTTAAAATATTTATGAACTAAACAATGAAAAGATAAGAAACAATTATTGCAGAGCAATAAAAAATCTAACCAAACTACAGCATGCAAAATATCATACACTGTACAATCTCAATTAGTCAATTTCATACACATAAGGGTATCGTGAACCAGCAGAAACCATGAACAATCTCCACTTTACCGATGTCTGAGTCAGCCTAGGATCAAAAGTTGGAAGGAGAGAGGCCGCTGGAGTAACAGCTCCAAAGCTAAAGTGCGCAGGAGAAGCTAGAACTGGTGCAATAGCAGCAGTCAGGGGGTTCATTGCTGTCAAAAAAAAAAAAAACTTCAAAAGTTTTATCTTTGAAACATTTTGTCAACTGAAAAATGTCAAAACAAGGTGAAAACCCAGTTACCATGTCTGTCAGGATGATTGTATCGGCATGTGGTGCCATACTTGCAGCTGATTAATTAAATAAGACATTTTAAAGCAATCAGACATTCCTCACTATTTATCTTAGAATAAGTGTTCCAGTTGATACACAAGAGTACTGACCTGCCAGTTTTTAGATAAAATGGGCAATCAACTTCACCCTGAAAGAAAAGTAAGCAGATGAGGAAAGAGTACATTTGAAGCCTAAATTTTTAAACAAAAAGAAGGCCTAAGTTTTGACCTTGTTCATAACATATATAGTTCAGGAAAGATATAATATCTTTGTTGATTCCAATTTCTAACTAAATTTCCTCCTCTTACCTTTCCTGGGGATGGGGATTCGGAGAGCATTTATAGAAGGAGATGAACATTGTGATTAGTTTGAACAATTAACATTTTAAGACTCATGCTACATACGGCCAGCATAGAAGAAAGTTTACAAAATGGCTCGCAAGCAAGGAGTGCCACGCACGAGCGGAGCGAAAAGAAAGCAAGGGGAATTCAATTTTCGGGGGACATCCAATAAAATTGCAACAATACAGGGAAGGTTAGCACGGCCGCTGCGCAAGGATGACACGCACAAATCTTATATTTTCATGTGTATTAAATCCCTAGTTCACAGTTTTCAGCACTCACATGGAGCAATTTGAAGCTGCAAGGGTATTTTTTACCAAAGATGATAAATAGAACATCTATTAAAATTAAGACACTTATTAGAAATCATGACAAACTTGCCGAGAGAGTAACTGAACATCATCGGGTCAAATCAAATTTCAGAAGGTAATTTTTATTATCAATGGATTATATTTTAAATAAGCACGATCTTAAGATAAAAAATTACCGGTCTGATAGGAAGACCTTTGGTGTTATGCAACAATGCTGGGGTATAAAGTGACTGCACTGGCTTCGAATCTCCAAACATTTCATTCTGCAGCCCAGTAGCAGATTCTTCACCAGCTGATGGCACTTCAACACCTTTGGGGTGATGAAATTTGCAGGTTGCTCCGAATTTACATTTTCCAGTCTTCATATAGAACTGGTACGATCAAATAAAGTTTAATGATCAGTTCAATAACGAAACGAACTCACAAGAAAAATCAAATACCATACCGCACATGGAAGCTCTGAGGGCCTCTCAGGTAAGGTAGAGACATCAGCATTGTCTGGGGCACCCTGAAGTCAATTTACAAGCAACAAGTTAGAAATTCAACGCATTAAAAGGAGTGGAATCAAACCTTGGCAAAGAAACCTACCAGGGGGACTATTTTATCTTTTGGGTGGTTGAATTTGCACCTAATACCAAACTTGCATCTTTGAGTCTTTAGAAAATGCTGGAGCATGTTTAACACATAAAAAGAAATGTGTTATAATCCAGACCCACGAGTGTGGAAAAGAACAGAACATTTTGAATACACACTTACAGGACAATCAGGCTCTCCTGGTCTCTCAGGAAGGGATTCGCTTGGTACAGGCGGAACCTGACTTAATTAAAAAAACTCAATTAAGAAATTTGGTGACAAAGAAAAACAATATATCCATAGATTTTGATGGGGAGGGAAACATATGCATGAAAACCAAGCAGAGAAAGGTCACACAAAGATCAATCAGAAAAAGAGAAGGCAAATTTAGACAACCTTCCAGTGAGAAACATAATATTTAACCTTCCAGCGCAATAAAACACAATCCTTCTACAGAGAAAATACACCAACAAACCTTAAAAATCAAAGAGCATAGAGATTATTTAACTAATCAACATAGTTCTTGACTTCTTACTCTCCAACATTTTGTTTTAGATAAAATCGTCTGGTTTTATATAATTAAAAGAAGAAAGACAGGTATTTCATACCATGTTGAGCTCATCATTGTAGAGAATTAAGATTCAATACCATATATTACATAATTTCTTCAAATATGGAATGTCACCAAAACCCATTGGATAGGTCCCTATTTGATAAAGTACAGAGATCACAGAGCCAAATGGATATTTTTGAATCAAGGGCAATAAACCTAACAATGTTCATGAGATAAATTCACAGTTAAGAAGAAAAAAATCAAGTGCAATCAACTTTATTACAACGGCAATTTTATTCTGTCTGTTCCTGCCAGCCTCAGCTTCTGCATAGCTTTTAACCAAATAAAGTTATACTGATTTGTGCCATGTTCAGCTTTTATCATCATAGAGGAAATGGGATTCTTATTGATAAATCCCAAAACCTTTTGTGAGCAAGTGGACAATTAAAGCAAAAGGGTGTATCATACTATATCTCATCAGTAATCTTGTCCAGCGCGGCCCATGGTTTCAATTACTATTCACCAAACCAACACATCAAATTGTTATACACTATATAGGAATCAAAATATAGAAAAGAAACGCATTAAAGTCAAATTAATTTTGGGGGTCAGTCGTAAAATCATATTTTGCAGTTCTATTCATTCCAGACCTGCCTCTAATAAAAATAAAGAAGATCGATCACGTAATTACCTCGAGTATAATATAAGTGTACAAGTAAAGAGAACTTAGTGGTGGACAAAGAGCAAATAGAATAGTTAGACACGATTCTTACCAAAGCATAAACTATCTTAACTTACAAGAGCATAGAACTACTAAAATATAGAATTATTGTTAAATAAAAAGTAATGTTGGTGTGCAGATTGATTATAGAGAATAAAATAGTAAATGGAATCACGCATTACTACGTAGGAGTAATACAAGGTTTCAACTGCAGCATAAACTAACTAGCGTGTTAAGTGCATAAACTACGAAGGTATAGATATATGATTTAAATACTTGATAATGTTGATATATCAATTAATGAAGAATTACTACTATAGAGAATAAAGTAGCAAAAATTATCACCTCTTTCCAGTCAGGGATTCCACCCTCTGGAACCCAAATAGGATGGTCAAACTTGCAGCTCTCGCCATACTTACACATTCTTGTTTGCATATAAAAGGCACAGTCCTTCTCTCCTGGCCTCTGGGGATAAATAGGCAAGTTGCTTGTATTCTCATATCTAGGGCGCTTGGCTAATGGGTTTGCTGAATACCAAGCTTCAGTTTGGCCAAATGTGCTATGGGCACCCAAAACGGTTTGATGATAGAGTGCTAGGTAGATAGTAGACACATATAGACAAGAAACCAAAATATACGTTATTGTATAAATTATTTATACGAGGAATAATAGAACATATTACTAGAAAGAAATGAAGCCAATGACTGTAGGTGTAAGTATTAACGATAAAAATATATGTATAGGTTTGAAACATTAACTTTTATGTTAGAGTGTTTCATACCAATTCATAAATAAATTTTATATTCTATAAACATTCAGTTAATAATCAGACCATACCGCAATTGTGGATTTATATACTGGATTTCTACATCTTATACAAATGTTGAAATAAGATTAAGTCATAAAAGTTTGATACGTCCATTTATAAGCTAGACTCTGAATCCTTTCAGACTAATCATAAATAAGTTTATATTATAAAAACAATCAGTTCATAGTGAGCAGTGCAACCATGCTCATATGACTCTGGACTTACATAGTGAATTTCTCCTCTTA